TTGTAGCCCCAGCTGTCCTGGAACTCACTATGTAGACCAGGCTGGCCTTGAACTCACAGAGATCCACCTGCCTCTGCCTCCCGAGTGCTGGGATTCTTAAAACAGTAATATTTTGGTTTTCATCACTTTTCTGAAACATGAGGCAGCTCCAGCATGTATACACAATATGTTGAAAGTACAACTTTTGGTTCATTTTGTTGTTATATTAAAACCAAATACATATACTTACTGTCATGAAAAAATTGAATCAAAATGTGTACAAGTGACTGCTGTCACATTATTTGTGCAGCTAAAATTAGATTTGAGACATTTTAGCCTGCTCATTCTAGACTAGTTAGCTAGACTCTAAATGCTCCTAGGTCTTGCCGCCACCTTGCCCCTGCTCCTCACATGCACAGGTAGAGCACTCTGCACTTTGAAACACAAAGAAACTTGTCGGTTCAGTTTATTCAGCTAGGGTCAGTTCTGTAAAAACAAAGTGAAGGCAATTGTTTGATATAATTGACTAGAGAAACTGGTTGTGCAGGTTAGTAGAACTTTGTCCAGTTGCATATTTGAATGTTCGTAAAATAACTTGGAAGAATAATATTCCAGTGGCAACACAATAGATTTTAAAGAATGAGTATCAGAAGGAAAGTAAAGGAACCAAAACCCTGGAGAGAAAATATTTGATTTTTCTCTGTCTCTGCTTTCTCTATGATGAATTGTGTCCTCCCCCCAAAAAAAGTCTTTTCTTTTGCTATTTATATCCTTTGATGAATTTTTCCTAAACTATATACTTAATATAATCATAAGAAGGTTTTCTAATAGAACATATTTTTCTAGTAAAAGGTTTGAGGTGTTGGCACTTTTAAAATCAGCCCTCCAGGCTCCATTTCTCTCCCAACCTGCCAAGACTTCATGATTTTCTCACTACTGCCCTTCATTCATTCCTTCTTGTACACCTCCCACTGTGCCTTTCCACTATCAGCATCACACTGTTCTCTACCCTTCAGCTCCTGGACTCTTTGTTCCTTCAGCTCACTGTTTTCTTGGAGTTTCTTTTTTTTTTTTTTTTTTAATTTAATTAGGGGTGTGGGGGGGTGGGTAAGAGGACAACTTTATAGATCTGGTTCTCCTATCTTTATGTGGATTCTGGAGATGAGCTGAGGGCTCAAGCCTGTCTAAGCAAGCACCTTTACCTGCTGAGCTATCTCACCAGCCCACTTATTACTTTCTTGGAATTAATGGAAACCAAAAACATTGAAGTGCTAAAGTAAATTATATTTAGAGCTAAATTTTTTACAAGCATATAGATTTTATATTTCATTTAGGAGAGAAAATATAAGTAAATTTGGTGATATATACCTGTAACCCAATATTCTGGAGCTGAAGGGGAACCATGCGTTTGTCTAGAAAATATTTTGTCAGTAGTCCAGCAAGCCTGGTGGCTCACACAGGTTGCAATCCCAGCACTTAGGAGGCTGAGGTCTGAGGATTGCTGAGTTGAAGGCCAGCCTGGACAACAGAGTGAGACCCTATCTCACAAACAAAGAGAAGAGAAAAAGAATAGAATCATGATCTGGACTAATCTTGGGGTTTGGAACACACCTTAGTGGTTAGAGTGTCTGGTTCACATGTATGTGACCCAGGATTCAGTCCCTAGCACCAAAATAAAACATTTTGAACATACTTAATGCCACCAAATTGTAAATTTATAAAGGGTTTAAGTATACATTTTATGTTCTTTGTATTTTAGCCACATTTAAAAATATTTAAATTAGCCAGGCTTGGTGGCACCAAAAAA